CGGAGGGGGAGGACAGGGTGAGGGCGGGAGCACGGGCGAGTAACGCCGCCCGGCTCCGCGTCATGGGGGGGGAGGCCGGGGGGGGAAGACGTCCCCCCATCGGCGCCCCCGCCCCCAGACACAACCCCCGCCCCGTCCCCCGCGGCGGGTCTAACAGGCCGAGCCCGGGGAAGTCTTCCCCGAGCCGACGCTGTTGCCGCCGCTGTCGTTGCGCGCGGGGAGGAGGGACTTGTCACCTCCTCTCCCGCTCCGCTGCCTCCTTCTGCGAGATGACCTTCTCGCAGAAGGAGGCAAACGCGTGCCAGGACCTCTCCTCTTCCAGTATCGCGGTGATCACCGCCGGAAAGGAGAGATCCTGCCCCACGATGCGGGTGAGCGCCTCCCGCTCGCGCGCCCACGCCGGACACTCGCCCAGCGTATGCTGGGCGGTGTCGTTTTCGGCCGCACAATGGTGGCAGCCGGAGCTCTGCTCCTTTCCGATACGACTCAGGTAGTGACCAAAGCATCCATGCCCGGTCAACACCTGCGTCATTCGGAAGGACAACCCGCCCCACCCTCTATCGACCCACTGGTCGAGGAGGGGCCCGATTGCACCGACGACGCGGAGCCCCGGGGTGGTGTCCCCCGAGGCCACTAACGCCTCTCGCCACTTGGCGATTGCGCGCCGCCGGTGCTGGAGTCTCCTCCGAGCACGGTGGTTCGCCGTCCATCGAATCGGTCTCCCCCCGGAGTCGCGGCTTTCGAGGAACATATTATAATGTTCCTCTGCCGCGTACTCCGTCGGGGGGAGGCCGGCGATCACCGCCGCCGCGTTGTACGCAACCGTGCGGTAGGCCCTACTAATTCTCGCGGCAATCGGGCGAAAGGCGCGGGCCATGCTGGCTCGCGCGTGCCTCGATGCCGCGAGTTGAGGGGCCCAAACAGGGGCCCCATAGAGCGCTACCGATTTTACGGTATTTGCGTACAACCGGCGCACCTTGCCGTCTGGTCCGCCGAGGTTGGGGAGGAGACGGCCTAGCTTGGCCGCTCGCCCCCATGCCCTCTTCGCGGCACCGGCAAAGTGGCTCCTGAAACTCCATCGGCCGTCGAGAATCAGGCCGAGATACTTCATCTCTTGCCTGATCTCGACGGGGGTTGCACCCACGGTCAGGGTGAGTCCCTCGGGTGGCGGGCCGTGCGTCCCATCGTGGAACAGCACGGCCTCGGTCTTAACGGTTGCCACCTCGAGGCCCAGACCGCGGATGGAGCCAACGATTGCTCCGGCTGCCACCTCTCCACGAGAGATGGCCTCCCCCCAGTCGCGGCCCCCGGCCGTCACGAGTGTGTCGTCTGCGTAGCAGACGACGTGACAGCCGGGGGGGGAGGGGAACACGCAACACCGGGTCGTACCCCAGGTTCCAAAGGAACGGTCCCAACACGGAACCCTGGGGCACTCCCCGGCGTAGTCTCTCCCGCCGGCGTACGCCGCCTTGGTCGATATATTCGACCCACCTGTCCCTCAGGTAGTCGCCCACGACGCGGGCGAGGTACGACGGTACCCCGCGGCGCCGGAGCGACCACCTGATTCGTCCCCAGGGGAGGGTGTTGAAAGCGTTGGAGATATCCAACGATATCGCCAACATCACCCCCCCTGGGACGTCGCCTCTTCAGAGAGGGCCTGTACGCGCTTAATCGCGTCAATAGTTGACAGGCCCTCCCTGAACCCGTACTGGGCCCCACAGATGTTGTTGGGGCCCGGTTGGGACAGGTGTTAGACGAGGCGGTTAACGAGTATACGCTCGAACAACTTGCCCGCCTCGTCCAAAAGGCATATAGGCCTATACGCCGACGGGAGAGAGGCGTCTTTCCCCTCCTTCGGGAGGAGCACCAACATGGCACTCCTCCACCGCGGGGGGAAGGCCCCTCTCCTTAAGCATGCGCTATATAAGCGCCTATACTGCTCCATGAGGACGCCCATGGCCAGGGCGTGGACACGCTTGGGAAGGCCGTCAGGACCCGGGGCAGTATTGCCCTTCAGGCCCTTCCTGACGGCCCTCTGGAGTTCCTCCGGCTGGACGTCGAGGGAGTCGTCCCAGTCGGAGGAGTCTTCCTCCGACTCAGAGGGTGGCCCCCCATCCTCCCCGGTCATATCGCGGAAGGGGGTCTGCACCACCCTCTGGACGAATCCCACGTCCAGCCGCTCCGTCAGC